GTGTGAAGGCTGGAAGATTTTGAAGAGGAAAAATTTCCTGATAAATCATTTTAAGTTACAATTTACCTTTATTTTTCCTTTGGGTTTTTCTCATGTTTTTTAAGATTTTGTATTCTTACTACCATTTCATTCTTAAGTATTTCTTCATTTTCTTGGTAAATTCCTTTTACCCCAACAAGTATTTAATAATCATTTTTTAGTATTCAAGCATCTAGGGCTTATTAGTTTTGTTATTAATCCTAAATATTATTAGATTATGGTTGGAGAACATGGTATATATGGTATTTTTAGAATTCATTAGGGGGTACTCTAGGGCCAAATCTGATCTACTGTTGTAAATATTTTTAATGTTGAAAAATATCTATTTTCTCTTTGCTAATTCTCCATATATACATTAACTGAGTTATTTGTTCAGATCTTTTTTTATCTCATCTTTTTTTTTTTAAATATTTTTATTCATTTCTAGGAGAGAGAGAGAGAGAGAGACAGCGTGAGCAGGGGAGGGTCAGAGAGAGAGGGAGATACAGACACTGAAATAGGCTCCAGGCTCTGAGCTGGCAGTCAGCACAGAGCCTGACGTGGGGCTCTAACCCACGAACCGCGAGATCATGACCTAAGCGAAAGTCGGATGCTTGACCGACTAAGCCACCCAGGCGCCCCTCTCATCTTATTTTTTAATCTCCTTGATGTATCAGTTTTTGAGAGTGGGTGTGTTAAAACCTTCAAATAAAAACTGTCCATGATTTACCTAATTCTTACTTCATTTCCTTGTTTTGCTTTATAGCTATATTGTAGCTCTATATTAATTTCATTTTTTTAAAATTTTTTAATGTTTTATTTATTTCTGAGAGACAGAGAGAGACAGCATGAGCAGGAGGGTCAGAGAGAGAGGGAGACACATTATCTGAAGCAGGCTCCAGGCTCTGAGTGAGCTGTTAGCACAGAGCCCGATGTGGGGCTCGAACCCACAAACCCGTGAGATCATGACCTGAGCCGCAGAAGTCGGATGCTCAACTGACCAAGCCACCCAGGTGCCCCTAGTTTCTAAGAGTTACCATAACAAACTGCCACAAACTTAGTGGCTTAAAACAACATAATTTTATTCTGTCACAGTTCTAGAAGCTAGAATTCTGAAATCAAGCTGTCAGCAGGGCCACACTCCCTCCAATACTCTAGAGAATTATTTCTTGCCTCTTCCAGCTTCTGGTTTCTCAGGCATTCCTTAGATTGTGGCAGCAAAGCTCCAATCTTTGCTTCTGTCTTCACATACACTTTTCCTTTGTGTGTTCTCTTTTTAAGATCCTTAAGTATATGTACAAAGACCTTTTTTTCCAAATAAGATTACTTTTACAGGTTCTCAATGAACATATCTTCTGGGGGTGCAGCCTTCAAACAACTGTAAGTAGTATATTGTAGGTACCTGTGTGTATATGATAATTGTCCTTCTTACTTGGCTGGTTATAATATGCCCATTATTTTACATATATGTATATGCATTACTATATAAAATATATTCATACATACATATAAACAAATGTATATAATTATATATGTCCTATGTCATGCCATGGGAGGGGTAGGCAGCAGTGGGAATTTTTTGTTACAATTTTTTTTTAAGTTTGTTTATTATTTTGAGAGAAAGAGAGCACAAGAAGGGGAAGGGCAGAGAGAGAGAGAGAGAGAGAGAGAGAGAGAGAGAGAGAGAATCCCAAGCAGTCTCCACAGTCAGCACGGAGCCTGAGTCCTGGCTCAAACTCCTGAACTATGAGATCATGGCCTGAGCCGAAAGAGTCAGACACTCAGCTGACTGAGCCTCCCAGGCACCCAGCAGTGGGAGTTTTTAATTGGGAGTTGCAGCAGCTGTAGGGAATTTAAAGACAACGACAAAACATAAGAATTAGTCTGCATTTTATTCTCACTATGTTCAGGCAATTTTAAATAGTGTCACTGGTAAAATACCTCTTAAAATGATCTCTTTTGTTGGCCTAGGTACAAAATAATTACTGCAGGTACGGTTGAGTGTTAATAATAAACATGTAGGGGCGCCTGGGTGGCTTAGTCGGTTAAGTGTCCGACTTTCGCTTAGGTCATGATCTCACAGTTCGTGGGTTCGAGCCCCGCGTCGGGCTCTGTGCTGACTGCCAGCTCAAAGCCTGGAGCCTGTTTCAGTCTGTGTCTCCCTCTCTCTCTGACCCTCCCCTGCTCACGCTGTCTCTCTCTCTCTCCTAGAAATAAATAAAAATATTAAAAAAAAAAGAGGCATGGACATAAAACCCTTCAATACTGCTTAGTAAGGTATTCATTAAAAAAAATAAATAAAATAAACTTGTAAACTCCAAATTCACATGTTTTATTGCTTATCATTTAACAAACATTGTATTTTACATACAGGCTAATTCAGAAAACTCCCGATATACTATCACCCCACAATACACATCAACTTATTTATACATCATTTATACATCTTTGTTTTAAGAGTAAGTTTATAATAATTCTAAATCATTAAAGCTTGCTTCATGTGCAGTTCAGGATTGCAATCCCGAGGGGACTACATATTGCTTCATTTAAACAACAGTTTATAAATAAATGATGATGATGTTTGTAAAAAAACAAATAGAATTTGCATAATCTTAATTCTATTATCATGTGTGACCACTTGGGTTTTTTTGTCTCTGTTTTAATAACTGTTTAATAAGAACAACAAAGCAATGTTATTAAATATTGATCTTTTGATTTGACATACTGCTCGTGGAGGGCAAACATTGTCACTAAGAATACATTCTCTAGAGCCAGATTGCCTGTTCGGTTTTAACTTTGTCACCAGCTAGCTGTTTGATCCCAGGCAGGTTAAACTCTCTCAGTCTCCGTTTCATCATCTTTTAAATGTGTGTAATATTAAAATATGGATTAATAAAAACACTTTAGAGCTAATAAAAATACTTCAGAGCATTTCTTTATGATTTAATGAATTATCACACATATTGCAGTTCGAATTCTACCTATAACACAGTAAGAACTTGATAAATTTTAGCTTTTATTGTTATTAACTCCCTAGTGGCTCAGTGGTACATCAAGAAAAAAATTCTTTGGGGCGCCTAGGTGGCTCATTTGATTAAGCGACTAACTCTTGATTTCAGCTCAGGTCATAATCTCACGGTTGGTGAGATGGAGCCCCACTTCGGGCTCTGTGCAGGGATTTCCTCTCTCTGCCCCTCCCGCACTTCTGCTCGATCAGTGGCACTCCTCAAAATAAACAAACATTAGAAAAAAGAAAAAATTTCTTCATAACGATACTTTGATGAAACAAAAATATCTTTAATGTAAAATTAACGCATATTACTGTAATACAAAAAGAAAAGATTGTCGGTGCCTGGGTGGCTTAGTTGGTTAAGCTTCTGCCTTTGGCTCAGGTCATGATCTCATTGTTCATGAGTTCAAACCCCTCATTGGGCTGTCTGCTGTCAACATAGAGCCCACTTTGGGCTCTTCTGTTTCCCTCTCTCTTTGTCACTCCCCATCCCTTGTCCCCACTAGCTCTCTCTCTCTAAAATTGATAAACATTTAAAAAGAAGAAGAAAAGAATTATTGCTTGGAATCAGTACATAAAATGAAGCAGCTTGGAGAAAATATACTTGAAAACAAAATTTACTCCTGGAAAGTGGCTTACTATATAGTTCTAAAATCATGATTAAAAAAAATAATCATGATCCAAGTATTTCACAGAATATTGGATTAAAACACTTGCGGGGTGAGAAACAGATGAGAAAAGAGACTGAGAGAATTCATGCTTATCCTGATAAACCACAAACAACAAAACAAAAATGTATTTTAGGCAATAAAATAAGGAAAACTCGGAAAGAAGGAACAGAGATTGAAAAGCTTAAGAATGCCGATTTGGTTTTCAGTCTTTTCCCCCCACTCTCTCAATATTTAAGATGGATGCAGTGATTTTACTCTTAATCCCATTGTCTCTCTGCCTTTCCATGAGCAGCAAGTCTTTAATTATCAAAAGATTCACAAAAAACAGCATTGCATTATATTTATCAGTGTCACAATTTTTTTATTTCGGCCTTACGAAATCCTGCATTATTTCATTACTAAATAGCAAGGGAGGTGGAAGTGAGGATAGTCATGGATTTGTAATTAGTAGCAGATCAAATAAGAATTTGAATGCAAGTCTTCCACCTTTGGAAGCTCAATGTAATTTATCAGTAAGCCTCTTTGGTTTGCTTTTGCAGCCTGTGGGAGAACCACTGTCTGTCTTTAATAAAGTCAACTTACTTAGAAAATACTTTAAATTTATTGAAGTATATATTGACATCAATGAAGACTTCTGTTGTTCTAATTCAACATTCCCTGAAATCATGGCAGCATACGGAGAAAAGAATCTTCATTGGAAAATGGACCTAGGACTCTTATCATTATAGACACATACATTATCATTTTTTTATATTTGAACATTATCAGTGCCAGAGAATTGTGAGCAAGATAATGCTTTCAGAAATACGTGATGTGACTGCTAAATCTAGTATCCAACGTCTCTGACACAGACCTTACTTTAAATTTTCTATACTTTACCCTGTTAATTCAACGTACCTTCTGGCTTGGTTTTAACACGTGCTTAAACAGGAAAGGGATGCTTATCATTTACAACAGCTATTAAAATGTAGGTACTACACTTTGTTGCTTCATTTATTTCCAAACAATAACTGAGGATTTCACATAAAAAATCTTGGTGATATTTGTAATGCCCATGCAGTAGAGCACTACCTATAAAGATTACACAGACTCTCGTCAAACTATGATCATGCTTTTGTCTTACATGAGCTGTGCCTGTCACTCAATAGACCTGTGTCTTTACCATATCCCAGAAGAAGTAATCGGGGTTCAACCTGTTTTTTAAAAATGTGTCTTCTGTAACGGTAGTTTACCAACTTGTAAACCCCGTCCGTTGTAATCCCACTAACAACCGCTAGGGTGAGACGAGAGAGGCCTCGCTTTCATCTTTCCACGGAATCTGGGCTGTTGCACGGCACCCTGACGTGCGCCGAAGACGTAGGTGTAGACGATGAACAAAAGAGAAGCCCCCGCGCGGACGGGGCCCCTCCGGGCACGGCCGCCCCGGGGCTCCCCGCGGCCAGGCCGGCCCCGCGGGGGCGAAGCGGGGAGCGGGCGGTGGCGTGGGGACCCCCTCGAGCGTTGAGGAGCAGGAGGCGGGGGAAGGCCGGGGAAGGCCGGGGAGAGGCCGCGGGAGCGCAGCCGAGAGAGGCCGCGCAGGGGGACGACGGCAGCGCCGAGGGCCGCACCGAGGGGAGGCTCCGGCCCTTCCCACAGGCGGGAGCCCAGCTCCGGGGGAGCCCGCGGCTTCCTCCATCTTGGTTGGTGGAGGCGGGGAGCGGCGTCCGGGCCCCTCCACCGTGGCGCCCGTCCCCCAGGGCCCCTCGGACGCAGACGCCGGAATCGGGGGCTGTCCCCCCGGCCGAATGGCGGAGCCCAGTCGGGGCCTCGCGGGCACACGTCTGCCCGCCCCACGGGGCCTGGCTCTGAATCGGCCCCAAGTTCCCACAGCAGTCCCGACAAAATGGAGGACGTCGTCTCCTCCTGCAGCCATGACGGGAGGTGGGGGGACTATTCCCCACGGGGGTGAGGCGAGGGTGGAAGCGCCCCCACTCCCCGCAGCACGTTGGGGAGCCCGCTTGACCCGCCGCCCCGACCTCCCAGCCCCGGCGCGCTCCAGCCCGCGCGCGGGCTCGCCCCTCTCGGGGGGCTTGAGGAACGGGACAGGGAGGGCGCTGGGGACATCGAGGCCGCGTCTCTCCTCGGGCAGGGTCGCTGGGAGCGGCCGCAGCGGCCGGGGCGCCCAGGCCCGAGCTAGGGCGGGCGGCCACGGCCTGGGGCTGTCGGGCTGTCCCGGGCCCTGGAGCGCCCCCCGGGCCCCCCGGGCCGGCGCCCGGGGCCGGTGCAGCGGGCGGCGAGCCTCGGGCTGCCTGACCCTGACGGACCCCGGGGTGGGGGCGGGGTGGGAGGCGGGGGCAAGGCGGGGAGGGGACGCGGCCGAGGGCCGAGCGCGGGCGGAGGCGGGGAGGGGAACGGCGACGCCGGGGGGTGTGGCCCGCGCCTGACGGACGGCCCTTCGGACCACCCCCTCGAGGGAGGGGGTCCTGACGGAAGGCAGACGGAGCCAATGGACGAGCCCGAGGCGGCCCGGCCCGCCCTCCCCGGCAGCCAACGAGGGCGCGGAGGGCGGGGCCTGCCCGGGCTCGGCCGCAGCGCCGCCGCCTCCGTCGCCTCCGCCTCCTCCTCCTCACCAGCGCTAAAGCCGGGACTGGACCGAGCGGAGTTGCGCGTGTTGCCGAAGGGGGGTGGGCCGGGGGAGGGGAGGTTCGTTCCGCGGAGCCGCAGCCAGAACCGGGTGAGGCTTATCCCCGCTGTCTTCGCAGCCCAGGTCCGCCGGTAGTGGGGGTGGCTGGGAGCTGCGCAGCCTCGGGAGGAGGAGGCGGAGGCGGAGGCGACTGGGGAGGCGGAGATGGGTGAGGGCAGCCTCCGGAGCCTCCCACCGACCCGGGATTAATACCCCGCGGCGCGGCCGCCGTCGCCGCTGCCGCGCCGGGGCCTCGGGGTCCGCTCCGGGCTCCGCTCATGTCACAGGCGTCTGCGCGTGCGGCCCGAGGGGCTGCGAGGGTGAGGGCGAGGCCGGGAGGGCTGGCCGAGGAGGACGCCGGCGGCGGGGGTCGCTCGGGGGGCGGGGGCTGCCCGGGCCGGGGCGGTGGGAGGTCGCGGGGTATTTTTCCCTTTCTTTCTGGCGGGGGGGTGGGGGGTCGGGAGGAGGTGGGGGGGTGGGGGGAGGGGCGCCTCAGTTCGTTCTCCCGCTCTCCGGGCTGCGCTGCCGCTGTCTCCGCGGTAGCCCGAGGTCCCCAAGTTTTTCGGGGCGAGGGTGCTGCCTCTTCCCCCACCGGGTCCCCTCCGTCGCTCTTCTCTTCCCTGGCGTTTCGCGTCTTGTCCAGTTTGGGGCAGTTCTGATGGCGGCAGGGAGCCTCGAAGTCTCCGCGTCGGAGCAACTGTTTGGGGCACATGTGGGAGACTTGAGCCGGGCGTGGACGTGAGCCGCCGTCGCCTCCGAACTGGTGCCCCGAGTGCCGGGGCTGACGCCGGGTGGGCAAATGTAGGAGGGAGGTCAGTTCCCCTGCCGGCGTCGAGGCAACGTGCGGCCGGCCTTCCGCTAACCCCGTCCTCCCTTCCCTCAGAGCAGGCTTGTTCTCCGTCTGCCGTCTGCAGTTTTGAAGAACATTTAGCTACGTCTGGTCGTTTAGATCCCTGTAGTTTTGTTTTGTTTTGTTTAAAGCTCGTTTCTCCACGGTTCTGGGGTGGGGGAGGGTAGAAGAGCACAGAAACTCCTTGACTTCTTACCCTTTGCTTCCTCCCTCTGGTGTTGGGAGTTGGTGCTGCGTCCACATTGGTTGGAACCAAATTTCTCAGCTCTCTTTCTCCTGTCATTTCCAGGATCCGGAATCACCTTCAGGCCAGTCCGGTGGGGCTTTGGCAGAAATTAAGGAAGAAGACATACCACTTGTGAGTCATTGTACCCTGCTTTTTAATTTAAATACACTTAGTGCAATATTTAGTCGATTTTTCTTTCTCTTATCTTGATGGCAGGGATCTAATTGCTTAGATGGCTGTCCCCAGAGCCAAGTCAGGGTAGTCCCTGGGAAAGCACTGGGAATGTATGCTGGTATTTACACCACTGGCTCGGACCTAAAGTTAGTTTCATTTTAAATGCTTTGAGTGTAACTTTTTTTTTTTTTTTTTTTACCTTCTCAATGTATACAAATGCTGTTAGATTAAGAAAAAATGTAGGCGTGGCAGGGTGGCTCAGTCAGGTGAGCCTCCAGTGTTGGTTCACGTCATGGTCTCTCAGTTCCCGAGGTCGAGCCCCCACATCGGGTTTGCTGCTGTCAGCTTGTCAGTGCACAGCCTGTCCTCCTCACTCTTTCTGCCCCTCCCCTACTGGTGACCACCCAAGTCTCTCAAAAATAAACATTAAAAACAAAAAATGTTCTGAATTTTCTGTTATTTTAATGTTGATGAAGAGAGTAGTTTTGGTACGTTTGTCTCACATCTGAGAAAGATTTATATTGAAGTACCCTTAGAGTCCTTCCACTGGCGTCACATCAGGAGGTACAGAATCTAGTTGTCACACGACTTGTGGTTCTGAGATTGACCACAAATTGGTAGTGACAGCTGGATCTCTCCAATTATGATGTTAATGTATATTTTTCTTGTACCAGAAAGTAATCTATATAATGTTTCATTTTGGTACATTAAATGCCCAATTCTCTGTCAGTTAATTGTTTTTTAACACCAGTTCTTGCTTGAATCAATCATTTTATTAGAAGTCTGAAGATGATGGTTTTTTAATGTTTGGTTTTAAGAAAGAGAGAGTGCACAGGCCAGGGAGGGGCAGAAAGAAGGAGACAGGATCCCAAGCAGGTTCTGCTGACAGCAGTGAGCTTGACATGAGGCTCGAACTGGCGAACCCCAAGATCATGACCTGAGCCACCCAATCGCCCCTGAAGATAATGACTGGAAGAAAGGAATCATGATTCTACATCTGTTATCTGGGATTCAGTACAGCCTTAGGTCCTGCCTGTTTTGTTCTTTAGAGCTGTCACAACAACTGACAGTTGGCGATTGAAAAGAAACTTGTGATTAGAGTAACTCACATGGTAGTACATCTGCCTTCCCTTTGGCCTTGTTGCTCCTTACCAACCTTGGCTTTGCACTCACCGCTCTTATTCTTCACGGGGCATCTTTTTAGTTCTTTCTAGGACACGGTGTCAGTGTAGACTGCTGTCTTAACTTTTAGGAGTGGATACTGCTTCAGTTTGGTAATTTTTGTACTATCCCTGAGTGGTGAGATTTCACATTCCACGGAGTTTTGTGAGATGATGGGATATACGCATGGTGCTAGAGCTATGCTGGGCATTTGTAGAAAAAAGGAAACCGGTGGAGACTGAGTTTGTCAGGGTAACAAGTCACTGACTCAGTTATTGAAAAGCCATTTTTCTCAGAGTATTCCTACGTATTTGCAGCATGATGGACCGTAAAGAACTAGGTTTTAGTGCCTGCCAGATTAGAGTTAAAATGCCTGCTATCTTGAAATAAGTCAGGCAGAGAAGGACAAATATCATATGTTTGCACGTATAGGAGGATTAGGAGGAACTTGACGGAGGAACAAGAGGGAGAAGAAGGGCGGAAATGGGGGGGGAAAGGGAGAGAGGCAAACCATGAGAGACTCTTGAATGCTGACAAAAACTGAGGACTGATGGATGTCGGGGGGAGGAGGGATGGGCATGGAGGAGGGCACTTGTGGGGATGAGCACTGGGTGTTATGTGGAAACTAATTTGACAATAAACTATTTGTAAAAAAAACAAAATGTCTGCTATCTTGGGGTGCCTGGCAGGCTTAGTTAGTGGGGAATTTGACTCTTGATCTCACGGTCATGAGTTCAAGCCCCATGTTGGGCATAGAGATTACTTAAAAAGTAAATAAAGAAAAATTTAAAAACATTAACCACAGATTTCTGCTATCTTATGTATTTTAGGAAGTGCAAACTAAATAAAGGTCAATAAATGAACATTTATTATGGGCATTTTATAAATGAGCAAATGATGTGTATCTTCCCAGGATTGCTATGAAGATTTAATTGACTATAAAAATAGGTAAAGTGCCTGGCCCATAAATTATGGGACACACACATACACACATACTGTTAATGGTAACTGTAATTCTTCTGGGTTTTTGTGTTTTTGATTTTTTTAATTTCCTGAGATTACCTCAGGTTTATCTTTCAACTTAAAACTAAGTTTTGCCTTGCTTTTATTTATTTTTTTGTAATATTTATTTATCTTTGAGAGAGAGAGAGAGAGAGCGCGCACATGCTAATGGTGAAGATCTCGATGTGGGGCTTAAACTTACAAACTGCAAGATCATGACCTGATCCGAAGTTGGATGTTTAACTAACTGAGCCACCCAAGCATCCTGTAAGTTCTTCCTTTCTACTAAGCTTTTAACTTCTGGAAGCTCTTTTTTATATTAGAAATGTTAATTTGGGGGGCATTTGTTGGCTTAGTTGGTAGAGTATGCAACTGTTGATCTAGAGGTTGTAAGTTCAAACCCCACATTGGATATAGAACCCACACAAAAAAAGTTAATTTTTTATGATCTTTTACTTATAACCTATTTAGAGTACTGATAACTTTGTAATATTTCATTTTACTTTTGTTTTTCCTGCATTATCTATCTCTTCTTTATTATTAGAAACTTTCCAGGGTGCCCGGGTAGCTCAGCGGTTAAGCCTCTGACTTCGGCTCAGGTCATGATCTCATGGTTCATGGGTTCGAGCCCTGCGTCGGGCTCTGTGCTGACAACTAACTCAGAGCCTGGGGCCTGTTTCAGATTCTGTGTCTCCCTCTCTCTCTGACCCTCCAGTGCTCATGCTGCCCCCCTCTCTCTCAGGAATAAATAAAAACATTTAAAAAAAGAAGAAGAAAGAAAGAAACAAACTTTACTCATATATTTCATAGTTCTTGACTGGCCTACTCGGTATTAAGAATTCAGAAGTAGATGGGGCCGCCTGGGTGGCTTAGTCGGTTAAGCGTCCGGCTTTCGCTTAGGTCATGATCTCGCGGTTCGTGGGTTCGAGCCCCGCGTTGGGCTCTGTGCTGACTGCCAGCTCAGAGCCTGGAGCCTGTTTCGGTCTGTGACTCCCTCTCTCTCTGACCCTCCCCTGCTCACGCTGTCTCTCTCTCTCCTAGAAATAAATAAAAAACATTAAAAAAAAAAAGAATTCAGAAGTAGAAAGCAAATCAGGAAAGTGTGGTTGAGCTTTCAGTTTGGGAGCCTCACTGTAGAATGGTTCTTTTGGCCAATTGGTGGGGAATCTCTAGAGTCATTATACTTACGGTCTTTTCCTTTTTTTGCTGGTTCCGAATTTTATAGAGAAGAGTGTTTCTGGGGTGTCTGGGTGGCTCAGTCGGTTTAGTGTCTGACTTTGGCTCAGGTCATGATCTCATGGCTAATGAGTTCGAGCCCTACATTGGGCTTTGCTGTCAGCACAGAGCCTGCTTCGGGTCTTCTGTCCCTCCTTTCCCTCTTCCCTTCTCCTGCTTGTGCTGTCTCTCTTTTTCTCTCAATAAATAAACTTTAAGGGAAAAAATACACAAAAGAGTGTCTGAGAAAGCAGTCTTCCAGGGAAGAGCCAGATCCTGAAAGATAAAGGTCTGGAAGCCAGCTCTATGGGAATCAAGTGGGAGAAAACCTTTCATAGGCTTGATATTGAACCATCCAGCCATGCTTGGCAAACCCCAGACAAAAATCTTATGCTCTCTCCAAAAACTAAAAGTCTAGAACTTGTGGCAGGATAGGGAAGAACCTGTCATCATCAACATGGAGGGAGAGAATAGTTCTAGGCTCTATTAACCTCATTTTAGCTCCCTGATCCCCTATTCCAGGGATATCTGCAGCTACCGGTTTCTGAGCCTTTTGAAGATTCTGCAGTATAATCAGGATGCTTCTCTGAGCTTTTTCTATCACTGTTTTAGAGTTTGACTGTCTCAGATCTGCTGTGGTAGTTAACAGTCCATTTGCTCTTTAGCTTATAAAATTTTGTTGCTTTGTTTCTCGTTCTTCTATCCTTGTGTGTAGGGACCTTACCATTGTTGTCTTGGAAGGGAGAGAAGTTGTGTGTGAACAGTCTACCAACTGAATCCCTAACAGGCTGTTGAATTTCTACGTAGTAATTTTGTACTTGAGCACTTCACTAATTCTCTTCTTTTTGTTGTTGAGTTGTTCATTTGAGGTTTCTTTATCCTATCTCGTAACATTTGTTATACCTCTGGAATCATGGTACACCTTTATTTTGTTTTTGATTTTTTTTTTAAGTTTATTTTTGAGAGGGAGAGACACACATGTGGAGTGTGAGCAGGGGAGAGGCAGAAAAAGAGGGAGATACAGAATCTGAAGCAGGCCTCAGGCTCTGAGCTGTGAGGACAGAGCCTGACGCCTGGCTCGAACCCACGAGCCGTGAGATCATGACCTGAGCTGAAGTCGGGCGCTTAAACGACTGAGCCACCCAGGTGCCTCTTGTTTCTGACTTGAAATGGGAATGCTTATAGCAGATAATCACTAAACATGAAGTTGGCTTTCGAGTTGAGGTTATTTTTATGTAAATATATAAATATTTTTATAGTAAGACAGACCTGTTTTATGACAATGTAAGTCCACAGAGATGCAATAGGACATGTTCTAGACCAATTAATGATTAACAACGGTTTGGTGGGGCGCCTGGGTGGCTCAAACTTAGGCTCAGGTTATGATCTTGCAGTTTACAAGTTCGAGCCCTGCTTCAGGCTATGTGCTGAGAGCACTGAGCCCAATTCATATCATCTGTCCTCCTCTCTCTCTACCCCTCCCCTGCTAGTGGTCTCTCTCAAAA